AATTAGAAAAAAAAACACTAGAAAATAAAAAATTCATAGAAAATGGAATGGTTCGGTTTATTTTGGTACAAGAAAAAACTTTTTTATTGGAAAGGCAGATATACAGAGAGGAAGATCTTCCGTCCAATGATTCACTCCCCAAGTGAGCGCAAAGGCCAGTGCTATGCTAATCCAAAGCCAGGAGCCTCTTCTGGGTCTCCCGCGCGGGTGCAGGGTCCCAAGGCTTTGGGCCGTCCTCGACTGCTTTCCCAGGCCACAGGCAGGGAGCTGGATGGGAACTGGGGTTGCTGGGTTTAGAACCAGTGCCCATATGGGATCCCGGGCGTGCAAGGTGAGGACCTTAACCACTGCGCCACCGCTCCGGGCCCCAAGAAAAAACATTTTTAAAAAGATTTATTTATTTTTGTTGGAAAGTCAGATCTACAGAGAGGAAAACATAAAGCTCTTCCATCTACTAGTTAACTCCCAGGTGGTCACAATGGCTAGACCTGAGCCAATCTGAAGCCAGGAACCAGGAGACTGCAGGGTTCCAAGGCTTTGGGCTGTCTTCCACTGTATTCCCAGGGGAAACGGCAGGGACAAAAACTGGTGCCCATATGGGATCCTGGTGTGTGCGAGGTGAAGATTCAGCCACTGGTGCCAGGCCTGGCACAAGAACATTTTTAAATCCACACATACAAGGTATCTTCAAGCAATTCATGGAAATTTATTTACTTTGAAAAGACTATTCATGATTGCAGGTGGATTTTTTTTTTTGCATTTAAATAAATACACTTTATTTCATTATTTTTAAAGATTTTATTTATTTTTATTGGAAAGTCAGACTTAACACAGAGGAGAGACAGAGAGAAAAGATCTTCTGTCTGCTGGTTCACTCCCAAAGTGTCCACAACAGCCAGAGCTGAGCAGATTTGAAGCCTGGAGCCTCTTCTGGGCCTCCCACGTGGGTGCATGTTCTAAGGCTTTGGGCCGTCCTCCACTGTTTTCCAAGGCCACAAGCAGGGAGTTGGGTGGGAACTGAAGCAGCTGGGACAGGAACTAGTGCCCATATGGAATACTGGTGCATTCAAGGCAAGGATTTAGCCACTGCGCCATTATGCCTAACCCAAATAAACACGCTTTAATTCCATTTTTTCCACAGACATTCATGTCTTGGAAATCCTCTTGCTAATGACTATATCCCACCTTAATTCCTTCCAGAGTTTAGATTTCATCTGGTCATTTTTGTGGTTAACAGGATCAATATATTCAATAATATGATTAACTGTTTGGACTCAGATTTAATTTTACATTACTTTATTTCTTCCTGCTTCTTGTTTTCCCATTTGCTATTCCCCCGAATTGCCTGATTTTCTTCTCTGTGTATTGTGCTGTTTCCTCTTTTCGCTTCTGCTTTCCCAGAATAGCTTGCCTGGGAAACTAATAAGATCTGTGCATTTCCAAACGTAGTTCTCTGGTGTAAAAAGGAAATTGCATTGCATCACATACCTTCAACTTCCTTTTCCGATTTTAGATTTTCCTGAAGATAGATTCCAAGCACTGATGATTTCTGCTCCCTTGGAGACGGCTACTTCAGGCTATGTGAATAGGCCATCAGGAAGGAGGAGACTATCTCACCCACATGGTTTACATTTCTGTACATTATCACTCAGTGATTGCAGAGGGTTAGCCACTGGCATCAGATTCCCCCAGGTGTTGGCACACACACACGAGTTCTAGCCTACCTTTACAGTCAGACAATCTGGAGGTGGAGCTCCGGGATCTGCAGTTAACAGACTTTCTAGAACAATCTTCCGCAGACTAGTGTTTGCAGGCATCAGTAAGTAATAACAGTAAGAAGAGCCTGGTCTCTGATGGACTTACTGACCTCCAGGTACTTCTCTCATTTACTTTCTCTTTCGGTCTCATGTTCTGGAATGCTGCCTGGGCATACGCAACACAACACTGCCCCGTTCCAGACTCACTTAGCACACGCACCACCACTAGATGTCTCTAACTCTAGCATAGTGATAGCACAAACGAAATCTCTGCAGTGACCGCTTCCTCTCGTGGCCATCATTTGTACTCAATTCCCTTACGGGCCAAGGCGCCAAGCCAGGAAGAGACGGTGATGTGTAAGACAAGCCTGGGCAATGCCCTCAAGGAGCTGAGATTCCTGCACGGAGTTAGCACAAGATCTCATGCTTAGCACAGGTTTCAGAATATTTTACTTTCCCTGTCACTTCTAATCTAGAATCATACCATTTATGTACGGCTGTAATTTTTCTGTTCCTAATCTGCCACCTCTCTCAACAATTAATCTGTTGAAAATTCAAGTCTTTAAAATATTATTTTAAAATATATTTCAGAACATTTTTATTTCAGAATAGTTTAAACTTACAAAACCAAAATTGTGGAGTTGTACAAGGTGTACCATATACTCAAACGCAGCATCCCCCACTATCAACAACCTACATGTTTGCCACACTTCTTAAAGATTTTTATTTATTTTTATTGTAAAGTCAGATATAGAGAAAAGAGGAGAGACAGAGAGGAAGATCTTCCACCTGTTGATTCACTCCCCAAGCAACCCCAACAATCGGAGCTGAGCTAATCTGAAGGCCTGAGCCAAGAGCCTCTTCTGGGTCTCCCAAGCTGGTGCAGAGTCCTGAGGCTTTGGGTCGTCCTCAACTGCTTTCCCAGGTCACAGGCAGGGAGCTGCAGGGGAAGTAGGGCCGCCGGGATTAGAACCAGTGCTCAAATGGGATCCTGGCATATACAAGGAAGAGACTTTCAGCCTCTTCTTCCTCCATCACACATATCTCTGAATTTGCTACAAGCCTTGTCTGTTTCCTTTCTTCCTGGGCTCATGACTTTAATTATACCTCTGGCCTTTTTCTTGCTTCAGTGATGTTTCTACCTCATTTATTAAACATTTAGCACAAGCTCTTGGATGTTTTTTTTCTAAGTCTTGCATTATTTCACCGACTTCCTGCATATAGGAGCCATGTCTTTTTCTTGTGGATCCAGGCTTAGGCACAGTGGGTGTCTAATAAACCTTCATCATTCACTCATTTATGCATTCCGTCTTCAAATAATCACTGAATGCCCATTGAAAAATCACATGCTCCCTGCTGTCACAGAGCTAAAAACTTAGTTGGAAAGACAGACAATAAACATAAAAAATGAGTTGATCACTAGGTGATTCATGTTAACTGGCAAAGAACGGTTTATAAGGACCCATCCCAGGCCAGGTCCCATGTCTACCAGCACAAGCTGACAGACCTAATGAAGACAGACAGTTACGAAGTGCAAAGTCACCAGTGCACATAAAACACCCCGTGGCACAAAGGGAAGGTGGGAGGAGCCGTGCGGAGGACTGTCAGGAGGACTCCCACTGAGTCTCAAGAGTGAAGTTTAAAACAAACAGTAGGGCCTGGCGGGGTAGCCTAGCAGCTAAAGTCCTCGCCGTGCATGTGCCTGGATCCCATATGGGCATCGGTTCATACCCTGGTTGCTCCGCTTCCCTGCCAGCTCCCTGCCTGTGGTCTGGGAAAGCAGTCGAGGACGGCCCAAAGCCTTGGGACCCTGCACCCACGTGGGAGACCAGGAAGAAGCTCCTGGCTCCTGGCTTTGGATCAGCTCAGCTCCAGCTGTTGCGGCCGCTTGGGGAGTGAATCAACGGTTGGAAGATCTTCCTCTCTGTCTCTGCTCCTCTCTGTATATTGACTTTGCAATAAAAATAAATCTGAAAAAACAAAAAGCACAAAGGGTTAGAGAAGGCCAGGTTTTCTTACAAGAGCTGTTTTCCGAAGCACTGCCCATGTGCCCAGCAGCGGGCAGCCCCTGGGCTGGCAGTGCCAGTGGCAGAGCAGCTGCCTCGGACGCTCGCTGCCCAGCACAGGGCCGGCTGCTGTCCCAGGCACCCCGGGTCCTGCGCCGGGCAGGGCGAGCGGCTTCCATCAGCACCAGGACCTGGCACCACGCTGAGAAAAAGCTCGAGGGTAAGGGCAGTGGCTTCTAACTCCCATCTTCCCGGGTTTTAGCCGTTTTCCAGCAACCCGCGGATTTCAGCGTTGCGGACAAGCCTGCCCCGAAGGGCACGTGCTCGGACGCTGGCGAGGCCCGCTCTGCTGCTCCGCGTGCTGGCAACGGGGAATCTGACACACTCGGTTACACTCGGTTACACTCGGGAAGCTCTTCCCACTAGGGGACAGTAACAGCGCACACTGACCACCTGCCACCTCCGTCCGCTGCTCACAGCACTGAGGCAGCCACCGGCCTCGGCCCACAGGGAACGTGGTAAGTCTGGCCCAGGGCTCTTCCCGCCGGCAGCCCGGGTCCGGGGGCCGCGCTCCTACCTCAGAACACACGGCTCCCCGGCCGGCGGGCCGCGCCGCCTGCCTGCCTCTCCCGCTCGCCGTTCGAGAACGCGGCGCGGCCCCTCGCACGCATGCGCCCTGCAGCCGGGCTCCGACACACTGAGGGACCCCTCCCGCCCCACGCGAGCGGCGCGCGTGCGCAGTCGCTCTTGGGCGCGCTTCTCCCCCCCCCCCGACCCCCGCCTCTCCAGCCGTCCTTCCAGAAAGCCGTTCCTCCCACTCTTCTCGAACCCTTTCCTCGCCTACGTCACGGACCCACACAGCCGCGGGCCGGGGAGCCCCCGGTGGGCCGCCGTCGCCGGCCGAGCGCGCCCGGGCCGTGTGGCCGCGCCGCGCCCGCCCCTTCCGCCGCTGGCGCGCGCGCACGGCCGGCCGGGGCGCGCCGGGGTTGGCTGCGGCGGCGGCGGCGGCGGCTGCCCGGGCCGGACTGGCTTCCCCGCCGCGGCGGCCCTCTCCTCCGCCCCCTCGCGTCGCGCGCCGCGGGGTGGCCGCCTGCAAAAAAAAAAAAAAAAAAAAAAAAAAAGAAAAAGAGAGGCAACTTTATTGTTCCTCAGCCCCTCCTCCCGGCGCGGCGCGCGTCCTCAAGATGCGCTGAGGCCGAGGGCGGGCGCGGCGGCGGAGGGTCGCGAGCCCTCTCCTCCGAGCGCCGGCCGGAGGGGAGGGAGGCAGCATGTCCGGCAGCCGCCAGGCCGGCTCGGGCTCCGCGGGGACGAGCCCCGGCTCCTCGGCGGCCTCGTCGGTGACTTCCGCCTCGTCGTCCCTGTCCTCGTCGCCGTCTCCGCCCTCGGCGGCCGCGGCGGCGCTGGGGACCGGCGGGCCGGCGCAGGCCGCGGGCTCGGGCGGCCTCGGGGCCCCGGCGCGGCCCGTGCTGGTGGCGGCCGCCGTGTCGGGCGGCGGCAGGCTGAGCTGTGCGGCCAGGCCCAGCGCCGGGGCCGGCGGAGGCGGCGGAGGCTCGGGCCTGAGCGGCGGCGGCGGCAGCAGCAGCAGCAGCAGCAGGAAGCGGCCTCTGCTAGCGCCCCTCTGCAACGGGCTGCTCAACTCGTACGAGGACAAAAGCAACGACTTCGTCTGGTGGGTTTGCGGCGGGCGGCCCCGCTTTGCGCCTGGCCCCGTGGGGAGGCTCCGTCCCCGGGTGGCCCGCGGGGCCGGGCTGGGGAGCAGGAAGAGAGAGGGACGCCGGGGAACAGCAGATGCGGGCGGAGGCACGCGTGGAAGGCTCGCGTCGGTGGTGGCTTGTGCCACCGGGGAAAGTGGGGTCTGGAAGGTTGGGCACCGGGTCAGCGACCGCGCCTTGGGTGGGGAGAGGTTCAGGCTGCTGAGGGGTGGAGCTGGCTGGCGCGGATTTGCTTAATAACAGCGTGGTGGGTGATGCGAGAATCGGAACAGCTAGGGTTTAGTGTAAGTATCCATTGTGTAAATCTCTCTGCTTACCCGTCTCCAAGGGCCGGGCGCTGGGTTTTAAGTCTGCTCACCAAACAGCCTGCTTGTTAGCTGAATCCCCTGCAAGAAGGAGCGGCACTGATGGAGTATTAGCTGTCTGGCAGGTGTATGTGTACTGCCCTGGGTACCACAGCATCCTGAAACTTGGGGAATGTTACATGTTGTAGACACTTTGTGGCCGGAGTTGCACTTTGACGGATACACAGTAGCAGGCAGTCCCCTCTTGACACAGAGAAAATTAGTTACTTTGAAAGGGAGTAGATTGTCTTGCTGATTGTGGTTTGCAAGATTTTAACTGGCTGTAGTTATGTCGGGAGGATGAGCCGGTAGCTGCGTTGAACTGATGAGGAACTCACAGGGCTTTGCGCCATTCCTGCAGATGAAGTTGTTGATAGTGGACCCAGGGAGTTGGCTTGCGCTCTCTCGGGGGAAGTTGCTTGCCTTCAGGGCTGAAGGTGATCAGGATTGCTAGTGAACACGTGGGAATAGAAATGATCAGAAAGGTTGATCGATTAGGGTGTGCAGATGCTGCTTCCTGCAGGAAAACGGTGTCCTAATTTGTAATTCGACCTTTGCCAGAAGTTGTTTTAGATTCCCACTTAGTTCCCCTTTTCGTTGCAGCGTCTGTGGCTGGGCTAAGCGGTGCTTCCCAGCCCTGACAGTGTCACACCCTGAGGTGGGAGATGGGGACACAGTGGGGAGGGGCACAAGATAGCACTTTGTAAATACCTTTCATGTCAGTTGTCAGTAGACAAAGAGCAAACATGCCACATCTTGCGGGTCACTGAGGAAGAGTGAGGACAGTGGCCGTGCATCAGCAGTTCCTTGTGTGACAGTCGCTTTCTGCTGGGCACCCTGCAAGTGTTCACTCTACTGTAACTAGCTTATAGGAGCAGGTGACACTGTTATCGCTTTATCAAAATTTTAATTTGTCACCTAATTAAAAAAATTTCCAGTCCAATTTTGAGTTCTAATCATGTTCCCTAGACTTATTCGCTGCAGTGGAAAGCTTCAATAAAAATAGTTAGCTAAAAACTCTGAATATTTCATTTTCTCTCTAGGAACCTTATTGGTCTATTACTTCTTTTTTCTGGCGAGTTTGAATATTCAACGGGATTAATTAATGAGCCTTTTTTCTGTTGTTAAGCCAGCTTTGATTTTGGCCAGGCTGTTAGGATAGTAGGATGAGAATTAGGCAAAAAGCAAGAAATGAATTTCATTTCTAAATGGCTCTCAGTGGTTGGTTTTGCCTCAGAGTCAAGCTTAACTAGTCCCAGATTCTTCTGTGCCTTCAGAGCCAAGTGAGGCCCAAGCTGAGATGGTTATAATTCATTATATATTTTTTTAAAGATTTATTTTTATTATTTTTTCGTTGGAAAGGCAAATATACAGAGAGGAGAGACAGAGAGGAAGATCTTCCGTCCAATGATTCACTCCCCAAGTGAGCGCAACGGGCCGATACTATGCCCATCCGAAGCCAGGAGCCTCTTCCGGGTCTCCCACGCGGGTGGCAGGTTCCCAAGGCTTTGGGCTGTCCTCTACTGCTTTCCCAGGCCACAGGCAGGGAGCTGGATGGGAAGCAGGGCTGCCGGGATTAGAACCGGCACCCATATGGGACCCCGGGCGTGCAAGGCGAGGACCTTAACCACTGTGCCACCGCCCCGGGCCCCAAGAAAAAACATTTTTAAAAAGATTTATTTATTTTTGTTGGAAAGTCAGATCTATAGAGAGGAAAACATAAAGCTCTTCCATCTACTAGTTAACTCCCAGGCATCCCATAGGGTGCCGGTTTATGTGCTGGCTGCTCTGCTTTCCTGCCAGCTCCCTGCTTGTGGCCTGGGAAAGCAGTAGAGGACAGCCCAAAGCCTTGGGACCCTGCCACCCGCGTGGGAGACCAGGAAGAAGCTCCTGGCTCCTGGCTTCAGATCAGCTCAGTGCCAGTCTTTGTGACCACTTGGGGAGTGAGCCAGCTGATGGGAGATCTTTCTGTCTCTCCTCTCTATAAATCTGGCTTTCCAATAAAAGTAAATAAATCTTTAACAAAATGAAAACTTGATCTCAACATTTTAAATTTATAGTTATCTTTGAATATCCTTGGGAAATAATGCATTTATACGTTAAGTACTTATATCTAGCCTGTTGATTCTTAAAATGGAATATGTGGAAGGAGGCAGCTATTTCAGATAAATATTTTTATCCCTAACCAGTCCTCCTCCGTATTGGCATGCATCCCTAGTGCCATAATCAGAATTAAGAGTAGGGTGACCAGTTGGTAATATAGTTTGCCCTCCTAATAACAACTGATTTATAAGTCATGTATTGAATGCCAGGGGTGCACGGTGGGGTTTCTTATATAGGAAAGTAAGCTTATATTGCAGAGTTAATATTTGGGGAATTTATACTTTTAATATTTCATACAAAGGATGGGGAGTGTATTGTGGTGTGGGAACTAGAGGTGGGCAACCTGTAGTATGGGAGTGAGTAGCAGTTAGCTTTATGGTGGCTAAATTTTCAGTAACAAAGTCTTTGTGACTTTGACTTTTCCCTGTTTTTCTTACATGTTTCACTTACGTTAGCCTAGCCTATTTTTGGGGAATGCTACCTTCTGTTCTGGCTCCTCTGTTATACTCTGTGACTACTGCCTCTGCCCTAGCTTTTCCAGCTGTTTCCAGTGACCGTTTTTCTCCGAGTAGCAGAGGAAGTGTGTAGAGTGGTACTCCACAAAGCTTACAGAAAATGGAGTTTAAGATCACCTTTCTTTAGTGTAAAAATTTTTGAAGCCTGTATATATCAGGAGTCTTCAAAAAGTTAATAGAAATTATATTATGAAAAAACCTGTAAAACTTAAAAAATTTTGCACAAAATAAATAAATGTATCTCTCAATTACATTTTCCATAAAGTTTTGCAAGCACACAGTAAACTCCTTGTGGTGCAGTTATCTGCATGACGGAAGAGGGTCAGCATTGCATAGATCTAGCACTAAGTCCGTATGTGACCGCCTGTTACGCCTCAGACTAGACCCTGTATCAGTATCCTCAAGCATCCCATACTGTGATGTGGATAAAGCCTTTGGATCTTTGAATAAACCTGACAGTATTGTTTCTCTTAGTACCATGAAAGGTGACTCTGCCATTCTCTTTGCATGATGGCAGATATTAAATACTCAGCAGGTTTTTATTGTAGTCCTCAACCTACCATTCTGGACATCTAGTATTATTAACTATGTTTGGCATTAAAGATTAAATACCTTGATCATTTCTGGGTTGATTTTTCAAACTATTAAGTACAAAGTTCAATGATAGTTATTATCAAACCCATCATGATGATAATAAAGTTCCTTTAATGAAAGTTTGGGTTAGATTCGGACTTACAATGTATATGCTGTGTGTTTTTTTTTTTTTTTTCTTATTGAACATCAGAGTAAATAAATTTTAAAGTTATTTATGGAATATAATTTACTCTGTGATAGTAAAGTAAATGGAGGAATTAGCTTTTTTGACCTTTGTAAGCTTATACATATAAACCTGCATAACTTAAAGTGTACTCATTGCTGAAACAAATTTTAAAATTCATTACATTATTGTAATAATATTGAAAAACTATCTTGAATCTGAAAAACTAACTGAAACTGATTCTTTTGCTTCCTAAGTATATGTAATTTAGATGACAGGTATGATGAAATGTTCTCTGCAGAAAATGATGTCAAATTACAGCTTCTCAGTACCGTCCTTCTAACGAGCAGATAGCTCTTCAGGGTCAGTGTCACCAGAAAACTTAGATGGATCAGATGATGTAGAAAATGAATATGATTACAAGGCAGAATATGCAGGACAGCTCATCTGAATTCTAGTTCATAGAGAGACAGGGACTTGTGCATTGCTAGTTCATTACTAAATGACTTGGGAAGTTATCTTTTCCTTTAACAGATTTTTCTTCCTTTTCCTAATAATGAGCCAACATTACCAGGTGATCATTTTGTATTCAAAAGTTGTTACTGATCGGAGTAACGGCGACCTTGGTGACCTTGGCGACCTTAAACTTGTCCATTTTTCTCCTATGTACAGGCTTGCTCTGGATGATTGCGTTCTCTTTTATGTAATTAGCTGAGTCCGCATCCTGGTTTCTTAGAAAACTTTGACTGAAAACCTTTAAAAAGAACACCCGATAATTAGCCATTGTTTTTCTTGTTATGATTTATATTATTCCAGTAAATGTATTTTAGATTTTGGTTGTTTTCATTTACATATGGAATCATCCTTCTGTCCCCACATTCCTAGCCATGACTTTGTTTCACTTGTTCTTTGCTTTGTGTCTTTCCATTAAAGCAAAATTTAATGATACCTATTTTTTATTTCAAAGGTATATTTACAGAAAAGAGAAAGAAAGAAAGATCTTCCACCCTCTGGTTCACTACAAATGGTCATTAAGGCCGGAACTAAGTTGATCCAAAGCCAGGAACCAGCAGCTTCTTGTGGGTCTCCGTAGTGGATGTGGAGGCCCAAGTTCTTGAGCCATCTGCTGCTGTTTTCTTGGGTGAGGAGCTGGGCCAGCAGTGGAGCAGCTGGGACAAGAACTCAGCCCCATATGGGATGCCAAGGCTACGGGCAGAGAATTAGCCTGAGAGCCTCCA